GACGGCACTTAACAACAATATATATACATACACATCACAAATGGTTGCTAGCCCCAGGCGATACAGTTTGTGAGGATTTTAATTTCTTCTTGCATCTTTTGTTGTTTTTTTTTTGTTTTAAATTTTGCATTTATTTTTAAGAAAAAAATTAAAACAGACATAAATAAATATAATGTGAGGGGGCTTCAAAAAGTTCATGGGGAAGAAAACATTGTCTTTTAAGTCCATTTTTCCCATGATCTCTTTGAAAGCCCCTTATAGTATAATGAACCCATAGACCTAGCATCAGTTAATAACTATTCGCTCCCTCCCCCATCCTACCTTATTATTTTGAAGCAAACCTTAAACATATCATTTTTCATGTAAAGATTTTCAGTGTCTAGCTCTAAAGTAATCACAATACCATAAAAACAGCTGAGAGTCTAACAACTTAACAATAATTGCTTAATAGCATCATATTTACCATCAAGTCAGCATTCCAGCTTCCAGCTGTCTCATAAATGGCATCTTTTGTTTTTTTCAAATTTGTTGTTTGAGTCAGGATCCAAACAATTGGTTGAGGTATCTCTAAGTCTCAAATTTTCCCCTCCATATGGTTCCTTTTTTTATTTCCCAAATTGACCTTACTGGTCACAATGGCTTTTCTTCTGTAATAAGAGCGAGAGCTGAGGGCCAAAGGCAGCCCTGGGTAAAAGGTCTGTCCCCTGCACCTCCCCCACAGGATCGGGACTTTCTCGCCAAGCAGAAGGAGGACCTGGAGCTGGCAATGAAGAGAATCACTGCCGAGAACAAGCGGGAAATCTGTGACAAGGAGCGAGAGTGTCTTAATAGAAAGCAGGAACTCCTTCGAGGTGGGTGCCTTCTTGACCCAGAATCTCCATGAATGGACCTCTCAGCCTTTGACAGTGGGGTGGCAAGAAAGAACAGCTAGCTCCCCGCCCTCCTAAACACAAAACATCCTTAATGGTGCGATGTTGGGGAAAAAACAAAACCACACTAGCTTCAGGAGTGAGACAAGGATACCAGTTACCACCAGCGCTTCTTGTTGTCAACTGCTGTCCAGACAGCTGCTGACTCGTGGCTCCACCATGGACAGTGGAACCAGATGCTGCCCAGTCCCACACCATCCCCATGGTCAATTGCAAATTGGATCTTTATGATCCATAGGGTTTTCTTTGGCTGATTTTGGGCAGGAGATTGCCAGGCCTGGTCTTCCTCATCTGTTTTAGTCTGGAGGCTTCACTGAAACCTGTTCAGCATCACACAGCAACAATGTAAGCCTCCACTGATAGGTGCATAGTGGCTGCCCGTGGGGAACACTGGGGAGAAATGGAAGGCAAGAATTCCACCATTGAGCTACCGATACCCCCATCACCAGCACCCACCATATAACACTATTCCAGAGATCTTAGTCAACAGAGGCAAGGAAAGCAAAGAAAAAGGAAGAGAAGTAGAGTGTGGAGTGTGAGGGAATTATAAACAAGTGAAGTGAGTTCATAGGGTCGGGGGGAGGGGTGTGAAGAGCCTGACCACAACAGCAGGTTTGCCACACCATGTGCCAGCCAATTTCCATACCTTAATCTCATTGAATCTTCATCTTAGCCCTGTAAGGCCAGTCCAGTTGTGATCCCCATTTTATAGATGAGGAAACTGAGGCTTGGAGAGTTCATATATTGTGGCCAAAGTTAAACACTTATTTTGGTGGGGGAGGGAGTTTGTTTCTGGTATGGTGCTGTAGACTAAGTACTGGAGTGCTAACTGTAAAGTTAGCAATTCAAACCCACCAGCCAATCCTTGGAAACCTTCACGTTGTTGTTGTTAAGTGCTGTCAAGTCAGTTTCAACTCCTAAGGACTCTGTATTGGGTTTTTGAGGCTTTTTACATCTTTGTGGGAGCAGAAAGCCTCATTCTTCTCCTGCGGAGTAGCTGGTGGGCTCAAACAGTTGACCTTGTGGTTTGCAGCCAGTGTTTATCCTCTGGAGCCGCTGCATACAGAAAACCCCACTAACTTCAAGAATGAGACAAGGATATCCTATACAGGATTACTATGAGTCAGAACCTACTCCATGGCACTTTTAACAACAACAAGACAGTTAATGAGTGGTAGAACTGAGCCTTGAATGCAGATGCATCTTGAGTCCACCCTCCTAACTTCTCCCATGTCTCATCTACTGCTCTGATGGTTTGGTGCAGTTAAGAACTATAAACCCATTATTTGGTATGGGTTCTGGTAGTCCTGGGCGTCCCAGTATCTTGGGGAGAACACCAGTGTTTCAGGAAAGTTCTTGTTTCATTTTAATTTTTCTATTTCACAGTGTCCGTAAGAACCACACTGCTTCTTGAACTGTGGTTCTGATTTCAGTTGGGAAGACAGAATCACTGTTCTGATGCACCATAATAAATACCATATATTTCACAGAACCAGAATAAACAGAAACATGCTGAAATTTGTAGTGACAGTGTATCTTGCAGGAAGTGCATGAGGTTCTTAGTCTGATCCCAGCTCCCCTGCCCTGGTTCTGTGACAAGGGTCAGCTAACAGACTTTCTGTGACAGAATGCCAGATCTCATTATCTTTATAACAAGTGTATCGGACACACTGGGAACCAAAAAATGGGTGAGGAGACATCCTGTCTTCTACCTAAGTCATTCCTACTTAGCCCACTGGAAAAGTAGAAGGGCAGTATGCTGTTGTTGTTATGTGCTGTGGAGTTGGTTCTGTCTCATAGTGACCCTGTACAGGGTTTCAGAGGCTATAAATCTTTACGGGAGCAGAAAGCCTCATCTTTTTCCTGCGGAACAGCTGGTAGTTTCAAACTGCTGACCTTGCAGTTCACAGCCTGATTTGTAACCACTACACTACCAGATTTCCTTAGAAGGGCAGTATGTTGTTGTTGTTATGTGCCGTGGAGTCAGTTCCAACTCATAGCAACCCTGAACAGGGTTTCCGAGGCTGTAAATCTTTACGGGAGTAGAAAGCTTTATCTTTCTCCTGTGGAACAGCTGGTAGTTTCAAACTGCTGACCCTAAGGTTTGCAGCCCGATTCGTAACCACTACGCTACCAGAGCTTAAAAATGTCTCCCAAGGATGTTCCTCCATCCCTAGTTGTACCCTATTTCGCAGAATGGGAAACCGATGTCAAAAGACGTTACTTATGTACTTATGCATCCTAATGCACAGACATTTAGTTTGGTCCCAGCCTCAGTTTTAGGTTTCTCTGGCTTCAGACTCTGCTGTTCCACTGCTGGGAGCCACCATGGATTTGAAGGAAGTTTTAGGAGTTATCCCACTCACATGAGCAAACAGTATCAGGGACCATCCTCTGAGCTCAGCAGGTGTCACCTGCAGAGTTAGGAGAGGGCCTTTTTGCTGTTGTGGTTGGTCAGTGCCTCACGGTGGGGTATGTCCTCTGCAGACCGGGAGGCGGCCTTGTGGGACATGGAGGAGCACCACCTGCAGGAGAGACACCAGCTGGTAAAGCAGCAGCTCAAAGACCAGTACTTCCTGCAACGGCATGAGCTGCTACGCAAGCACGAGAAGGTGAGATTCCTGGAGCATCTGGGAAAGCCATGAGGCTGCATCGTGATGAGGGGTCTCCACCCCAGGAGGTCCTCCCACCAAGTATTATTTGTTGAACAGCCAGGTATCAGGTAGGATACTGAGGCAAACAAAGTAGCCATCAAGCTTATATTTACTTCTGCCAGTGAACAAGTGAAGGACAAAAAGGGAACTGCTGGCTCCCCAGTGTTCCAGTTTTCTATAATACAGAGAAAGGAATACATCTCACTACCAAAGAGGCAAAAAGGCCCAGGCTTTTTATGGACCTGGGGACCAGGGTGAGGGAGAGGGCTACCGGCTGTTGTTGTTATTGAGTGACATCAACTCATTTCCAACTGATAGCAATCCTGTGTACAGCAGAACAAAACACTGCCCGGTCCTGTGCCCTCCTCACAACCCGCAATCCATGGCAGTACAACAAACTGGCAGACAAGTGGTAGAGGGAGGGGCTAGGAGTGGGAAGTACTGGACAGAATGGACAAAAGGCCACCACTGATGTCATGGATAAGAAGGTCTCAGCAGAACACCTGGGGTGAGTAGGGGTCATGTACACAGCCCCTAGGGCAGCCTGATGCTTGTAAGGACTAAATGAGATGATGTAGGGACTCTCCTGGTGGGCACATGGTAGATGTTCATTGTCTTCTCCAGGCACTTCTGAGGTACTAGGAATTTGGAACAGGGCCCTCTCTCCAATGCTCTCTGACCCTTCCCTCTGTAACCACATCACCTGAGAGAAGGGGCAGTTTACTCTCCGCTGAACCTACAGATCGTAGAGTGCCATCAACTGATTGCAACACATGGTAACTCCATGTGACAAGAGTAGAACCGCCCCATAAGGTTTTGTCGGCCATAATCCTTATGGGGAGTCCTGTGTGGCGCTGGAAGGTAAGTTCTGAACCGCAAAGTCAGTTTGAACCACAAGGTCGGCGGTTCAAACTTCTCAGCTGCAACTCAGAAGCGCTATACAGGGTCACTATGCGTGGGAACCAACTCAACAGCACTTTACAACAACAACAACAACAACAGGCCTTACAGGGGCAAACTGCCATGTCCTTTTTTCCCACGGAGTAGTGTTTGATCTGTAAACCTTTGGGTTAGTAACGGAGCATTTAACTGTTGCACCACCAGGGATATTAGCCTGGAATGTGGCTGCTTCCACCAATTGGGACCACCTCCACAGGAAGACTCCTATTTTCCTCTTTCTTGCCTAGGAACATTGTAACAGCCTCACTCATATACTTCTTTCTTCTGGGAAGGAGCGCTGTTTGAGTCACGGTCAAGTCCCTTCCCTCCCAGATTCTAGAACAACTTAATTTCCTTTACCACTCCCTTGCCCCACCCATTGTGCTACACTACTTCCACTCCTGGGGCCTGTTGCAGAGTCTCAGACAGATCCTGAGGTCGATGAGCAAGACTCTGAGCCTCCTCGGGAAGTTAGAAGAATTTGATCCCTGCCCCAGGGATCCTGTGTGCCAAGCACCTGTTTTAATGGAGATAGGCAAGTGGCACATGAGAAAGCATTGTTTTGTAAACTGTGAGTTTTGACCTTAATAGGTCACATTGTGAAATCAACTCATGGGTCATGACTGGCCATTACAAAAACCTCCAACTGTATTACACAGAATAAATATAAGTATTGCATTGTTGTTGTTGTTGTTATGTGCCATGGAATCTGTTCCGACTCATAGCGACCCTGTACAGGGTTTCCGAGGCTTTAAATCTTTATGGGAGTAGAAAGCCTCATCTTTCTCCTGTGGAACAGCTGGTAGTTTCGAACTGCTGACCTTGTGGTTCGCAGCCCGATTCGTAACCGCTACGCTACCAGAGCTCCTTAAGTATTGCATAAAGGGATAAAAAAAAAAGGAAGAGGTCTCAGCAGAGATGCCTGGGAAGGACCTCAGTGGAAAGACCTCTTCCTCCCTCAGGAGGGCTCTGGGCTAGTCATACAGATGTGCACAGGAATATGGCTGGCCGTGTGAGGACTACAGTCCCTCCAGAAAACCAGCACTATTGCACCAAGTTTGGTTCAGGAGGGCAGTTTCCTCTTCCCTTCCCCTCTACCAGGCAAAGCCTTGCCAGTTTTATGATCAGGCCTGAAAGATCTCATAAGGGATTTGGCCAGGTGCTGTACTGCTCACTGTGTCCCCCTAGAGACACTAGAAGTGGGGGAGGGAGGGGCGTGCAGCTCCTTTAGCCAACTCTTGACACCAGATGGATGTGTCTGTTTCATTCTTTGATTATCATTTCCCTCTTTTCTTTTTCACCCTCCCTTTCTTCCCATTTTCTCTTTATTTTGTTCTTCCCTATGAATTCTCTTGGAATACTTCAACACCACCTCTACCACCTTCCCAACCTCATTAGACCAGATGAGGGAGGGAGGACCTTGCTCTGCAAGGCCAGTGTACTCTATACTTCTGGGACAGTTGTCTGTCTTGGTTCGGTCCCCAAACCAAAGTCTGGACACATAGCAGTTACTGGTCAGTATAATTCTTAAGCTAAGTGTGCAATGCTAGAAGTCAGCAGTGGGGGCTCAGAATAAGCATGTCCATCCCAGCTAGGAAATCCAAGGATGCTTTCTGGAGGAAGTGACGCTGGGATTGAGTTTGGAAATACAAACAGGTATTAGGTAAAGGAAAAAATTTGAATGTATCGAGCCTTTCCACGATACAAATGTTTAAGTCTTCTGTCAGCAATGATGAGAGCTATCCCTTAGTAGACATTTTTGCTTTGAGATACTAGCTATCATGGTTGACAAAGCATCTAGAAGAGGTCTTGGTTAACGAGTACTTCTGTAACAGAAATACCACACTGGAAGGTATTTATAACAAACAGAAAATTATTCTCTCATAGTATAGGAGGCTTGAAGTGTGAATTGAGGAAACTAGCTCTAAGAGAAGGCTTTCTCTTGTCCCCTTTTAAGATCTGTGGACCCAGCATTCCTTGGAGATCTCCATGTGTCTTGGCGTTCATCTTCCCCTGGGTCTAGAAGGTTCTTGGCACAGGGGCCCTGGGCCCAAAATACACACTCTGCTCCTGGCGATTCTTGATGGTTCTGAGATCCCTTTCACCCTGCTCACTGCTCTCTCCTTTGAGCACCTGTAAGAGCAAAGGTTCTGCAGGCACCAAGGAAATTTACTTATATTGGATCAGAGCTGTGATCTGAGTAAGGATGGTGCATCCCACCTTAATCCCCTTACAATCACATCACATCATGGCGGATGGTTACATCACTACGTAACTGTCAAATCCCTGGGAGTCATGACCTAACCAAGTTAATGGATATCCTGGGAGGATACAATTCAATCCATGCATGACAAAAGGTTAAGTATCCAAAGCGTTATTAGCAATAATTGTTAATGAGAACAAAAAAATGTCACTTAACAATAAACCAGAAACCAAACCAAACCAAACTGCCTTTGAGTCAATTCTGACTATGGCAGCCCATGTGTTCAGAGGAGACCTGCACACACACACGTAACTGTGGTCTTTTTCAAAGTAGATCGCCAGACCTTTCCTCTGAGGCACCTCTGGGTGGGTTCGAACCACCAACATTTTGGTTAGTAGGTGAATGCTTAAAACTTTGTGCTGAATGCTTAAAACTAGGGACTCCTAGTAGAACAGCAAAATACAGGCCTTGCTGAACTGAGCATTTTGGACTATGGGTCCTGGACTCCCAAGTCGAGTGTGGCCTTTGGCCTCTGACCGACCACTCACAAGTACAACGGCTGACCTTGACCCTGTGGGGTCTTCCCCTGCAGGAGCTGGAGCAGATGCAGCGCTATAACCAGCGAATGATGGAGCAGCTGAAAGTTCGGCAGCAGCAGGAGAAGACACGGCTGCCAAAGATCCAGAGGAGCGAGGGCAAGACGCGCATGGCTATGTACAAGAAGAGTCTCCACATCAATGGTGGGGGCAGCGCCTCAGAGCAGCGAGAGAAGGTCAAGCAGGTGGGCATAGCCGGTGGGGATGTCAGGGGGAGTTATCCTAGGGCAAATAGACCCGGGCTTGGCGAAGCCTAAACCTTATACAATGTGGGCAAATCTCAAACATACGGTGCAGCACACACAAGGATAGATGTTGTGTGATCCCACGTCTGTGAACTATCCACATGCTGAGAGACTCAAGTTTACTAGTAATAACCAGGGATGGTGGGAGGAGGAAACGGTGGGAGGAGATACTGAGCTTCTATTAAGGGTGATGAAAAAAATGGGCAATGGATAATGGTGACGTTTACACAGCATGATGAATGTAAGTCATGCACTGACTTGCCAGATAAAAACAGTTGAAGAGGCAAATGTTTTATTATATGTATTTCCCACAATGGAAAAAAAAAGTTGCAGTAGTGTAGTAGTTTTACATGTTGGGCTGCTTAACTGCAAGGTCAGCAATTTGAATCCACCGACCACTCCTTCTAGGAAAAGTTGAGGCTTTCTGTTCCCCTAAAGATTGTTGTTGTTGTTGTTACTCAGAGCAACCTTGTATAGGGTTTTCGAGGAGTGGCTGGTGAGTTTGAACTGCTGACCTTGCACTTCAAACTGATCGTAAGATTACAACCTCAGAAACCCTATACAGAGTTCCTATGAGTTGGAACTGACCTGACAGAAAACTACCCACCACCTTGGTAAAAAACAAAAATTTTAAGGCAGCACAGGGCCTTGGAGGGAGGGTACAAGTTATGGTCAGAAGGCTCATTGGCCTCCCTTTGGATCCACTAGACAGAGGAAGGAGCTTGGCGTTGCAGTCCTGGACTTCTTTGGTTCCTTATGCACCATTCCCTTTTACACACCAAGCTTTTATCTATGCAGCTTCCTGTGCTGACAAGACCTCACTCACAGGCTGCCCACGTGGCTCTGGATACACAGAGTTCATGGCTCCCATGATTCTCTTGTGGAATGCGTGGCTGTCCTCACACATGTTGTCACAGTGTCCTGTTGGTGCTTGTGTTTGGGGCTCCTTAAGGGTAGGGGCTGGCTCTTAGCTCAGAGTGAAGACTTAGAATTGGGGCCCAGCCTAAGGTGGTGCTGGGCACCGGAACAGGGCTAGGAAGCACCCTTCCTGCCCCCAGCCAGATCTGTAGCTCCTGAGACATCCACCCTGTCTTTCTTGCAGTTTTCTCAACAGGAGGAAAAGAGGCAAAAGTCGGAGCGGCTGCAGCAGCAGCAAAAACATGAGAACCAGACGAGGGACATGACAGCACAGTGTGAAAGCAACACAAATGAGCTGCAGCAGCTACAGGTACCGCCCTGCCACCCCCACCTTGTAGGACCAAAATCTCCATCTCCACAAGATTGCGGGTTCACCCACAGCAGCCCACTCTCAGGGGCCAAAGACTCCACCAGGGAAGGTGCCTGTTCAAACCAGCCTGTGTGGCATTGGGCAAATTATACCAGCCTTTCAAGCCACAGTTCCCACTTCCACAAAATAGGCATGGGCTAGAGTGATAATTCCTCTTTTGCAAGATTGAGGTGAGGATTTCTAAATGAGCTAATGGAACTTAAAGTGCCTTGTATGAGGCCTAGTCTTGGGCATGCAGCTGAATTTCTTAGTCATCACTGTGCCTTGGGAAGAGGTGCCCCGGGTATTGTCAAGCCCCTTGATGACCACTTTCCCTGGAGATACCTCCTGACCCCTTTACATTTCCTGGCTCCTGGGTTTAACCTATACCTGAGGTTCCTGGTCCCAGGAACTGGTGCTTGGAGCCTCCTTGTGGTGTATCAAGGTATTGTCAGATCTATAGGATTGTTGTGAAATGCTTTTGTGTCAGTTCTGACTTATAGTGACCCTGTATAGGGTTTCCAAAGAGCAGCTGATGGATTTGAACTGCCAACCTTGTGGTTCACAGACCATTGCTGATCCTACAGTGCCACACTAGGAGTACAAGCTTTAGGGTAGGGCTGGAATTAAATCTCCATGGACTTGAGGAAGCTACCCAGGACATTGGACCCATCTGGCCAGTTCTGGACATGCAGGGAGATGTAGAAGACATGTCATGGGTATTGAAGTCTGCCAAGCAGGAGTTCTTCTGTTTGCCATGGTGTGAATTTTAGCACTCATCTTCGCTTCTGGTTTCCTATTCCTGTCTCAAGGGAGGGGTCACTGAAGATTAACTGAGAGAACCCATAGAAAGTACCAAACAGTTTCTGTCATGCCAAAGGCACTCAGTGCCACTGTAAGCATAATTTTTACTAAACCAAAGTAGAAAGGATCCCTGGTAGCACAGTGGATTAAGCGTTGGGCTGTTCACCAAAAGGTCAGAAGTTCGAACCCACCAGTTGCTCTGTGAGGAGAAGAAGATGAGGCTATCTGCTTTCTTTCATACAGATAAACCCACTGGAGCAGTTCTTTTCTGTCCCAGAGTCACTGGGAGTCAGGATCAACTTGACAGCATTGGGTTTGTTTTGGATTTAAACCAATGTAGATTGAAACCCAAAATAAAAATTCCTTCATTGTGTGGAGTCTTTTCTTCCAACCCAGTTAGGGTTGAGGTATCTGGATAAAGGGACTTTTCCCTTGTTCCTCCTTATAAACCACAAGATGTATTCCCTGTGAGGAATCACTAGGGACTTGTTCCTTCTGTCTTAGAGAGAAACGCACGGTAACTTGTGAAGCATATGACTGATAATCTCAGAAAGACAGGACACAGTGGTAAGGCTAGGAGAGTTTCAGCCCTGTCCATTGTCCTGATCAAAGGTCTCTCCTGAGAAAACGTATGCCATAAAAGGATTCATGGTGTGGCAGTTCAAACCTACCAGCTGCTCCTTGGAAACTCTATGCAGGGTCGCTATGAGTCGGAACCAACTCATAGTGGCCCTGTATAGGATTTCCAAGGCTGTAAATTAACGAAGCAGAAAGCCTCATCCTTCTTCCACATAGTGAATGGTGAGTCTGAACTGCCCACCTTGTGGTTTGCAGTCCAGTGTTTATCTTACAGAGCTACCACTCTCCAGAAGTAACCTAAGTGATTAGACATAGGGAAATATTTCAATAAAATTGGTAAATCTATAGCACTGGATGTTTTCTAGGCATTAAAACTGATGATTATGAAGGGTGTTAATTCTTAGGAGAAATAGTTGCATTCTAACGAGATAGGTTTCAGCATTGTATATGCAGAGTAAATGGTATAGAAAAATAACAAAGCATGTTAGGAAATAAACCTAAATGTTCATAGTGCTTGCCTC